TTTATTGTTCCGTCCGCGTATTTCAACTACATTACAGACCTCTCAATTCGAATACATTGACCGATGGTCCAGTTTGTCTACCTGGACTACTGGAATGCTTCCAGTCGAAGGGGATTTGGTGATCATTCGACAATCCGACTTTGTGGTATTGGATATTGATACACCAAATTTGTCCCTGCTATTGATTGATGGAGGAACTTTGAGTTTCGATCCTACCAAAGATATAACACTTCGCGCCAAATATATATTGATCACAAACAACGGTACACTCAAAGTGAGCAAACAGTTTTACAGTCGCAAACATTTTATTTTTTTGGGGGAAGTCTTATTAACCAATTAACTCTTCAGGACAAGAACGTGCTCCAAATCCAAAAGCACATTTTTTCAAGTTCTGCCGTCAATACGTTACTTTGATGACACGCCAACATCCGACTAGCATCCGTGTTGTTCATGGACGTTCGATTTAATTGGGGTTCCGCTGTCAATGGGGGTCAGCGGGATCCTACGCGGTGCAGTGAATTCTACCTTCAACTTCATCAAGCTTATACAAATGTTCTCCGCGTCACCAAACATTCAGTGTATTAAGATAAGCCACCTGGGCTGATCTCTTTGATGGCTGTGTGACCACCTACTTAGGTTGAAGGATTGTACACTTATGCCAATCTGAACAAAACTGAACCAGCCGGATTTGCGTTTGGTGGTGGGATTGAGATTGTGGGTTGATCGGCAAATGAGTCGGTATTGCAAAGTTTCTCAATGTTTAATCCGACTCACTACCAAATACCTTTTCTCTACCCGGTTTGTGTCCAAATTAGATTGGTACAGAAGAGAATCCGTTTCCGCGTGAGGCCAAAATCATTTTGTTGGGTCATGCGCGAGACAAGGAATTGCCACTCTACGGATCGAAGGTGCTCGCCGTGAGGAATGGTCGCCTGAGTATTCACGGTATGTTCATTGAAATAAAGTCTTCCATCATAGTCATCGTCAACCCAATACGGTGATGCATGTCTTTCTCTAACACAACGACCCGGTTCTACCCGAATTTGTTGCTTACAGGTCAACCTCATTCACCCATGTGGACAAGGCTCGCGAAAACAGCGGAAGCCGGAACGAAGAGGCTTGTCTTGATAGAGCCGGTTACGTGGCCACCGGGTTCGTCCATTGTTATAACCAGTTCGGAAATGGGACTGGAAGACGAGCTCCACGTTATCAAAGGTACGCTACAGGTTATTTCATCCGGATCATGAATGTGTTCAGAAACTAGGTAGAAATTTGATTGAATGGTGCGAGCTCTTTTATTTATCATTTCTTAGAACTACAGTGGAATGACCGATAATGGATTTTCCATCATTGGTCTGATTAGCTGCGCTAATCGTAACCAGTTTATTCACTTAGAGTTAAATCGTTCTTCTTCCGGGCTAGACAGTCAGTAGAATCCTGCTTCTGGTGTAATCGCGAATGGGGTGTACGGTTTATGTTCAAGGGAATTGGACGGGGAATGTTAATCAATAAATAGGCGTTTCACGATATAGTATCCTTAAGAAATTAATACCGGTTTGTAATGCGATGATTTTGAACGACGATTTCAGTTAAAAATCGGAAAATAGTTTGTAAATACTTGTGCCGGGAAGTAGGATACTATACTTCACAAAAAATGTATCAAACTCGTTTTCGCAGATCATTCAATGAATTTACTTTCGTGCACTGTTTACATCACGTGGAAAAAGACTTCTGGCAATAATCGAAAACCCTTGGATATACAGGATTAAGGAGCCCGTTACATTGTGAAAATCATTTGGACTTTTTACCTTCAATGCATTTTTGCCACACGGTTTGGTTAATCGTATTTACTCACACCAAAGCCTTCTTATAATATCAAGTAAATGTGTCTCTCATCCATTAATATGAGCGTAATAATATACACCAATACATATCCACCGTGGGTATAAGCCAGGATTCAAGTCCGCAAATAGGATCGATAGACAAACTCCCACGGACTCTTAGGATTAGCGATCGAAAGCTGGAACTATGTTAACACAATATACATATATTCATTCATTTTCAAACAAATATATTTTTGATCAAATATCTCTATTTGCCTACCGTGGTTGTTTACTCAGTTATCAAGAGTTGGCACAAGTCGAGGCATCCCATCGATAGCATACACTTCTCTTTGTGCCCACTAAGGCACTTCGTATCACACCAGCAACATTTACCAAACATTTTTCTCTCTACCTCTCTGTCGGTTACACTTCAGCGCTTCACGGGAAAAATAAGATTGTAGAATTGAAAACTCCTTTGGAAAAGAAGAAAGTAGTTCGATCCTATCAGTCCGTGGACGGGAACGAGGTGTGGGCTGGTGTAGAGGTTGGTCTAATCTCGAGCAATGTGCAAATCCAGGGTGAAATTGTGGAATGGGAACAAGAAGAGACCCCGGTTTGTGCAACAGTGACCGATTGGCGAAGTGAGTTCTGCAACCACTCTGTTTGATTCATCAATCTTCTTTTTTTGATGTTATATCATGTATATCTGTAGTTAACTTATATTGATTTAGTAAGAACGGGCACTGGTTAGCTTATTTTAGGTATATACAGAATGAGAATCTTCCGACTGCAGTTGAATGTCTAAGTTTTACCATATATAGTTGTAAAACATTGTATTATAATACAGTGTTCAACCAAAAATGGACCACCGTCACAGTACTGGAAAATACGTGGGACATTAAGCGTGCTAAGATATGAGTCAACTACTAAATGCATTAGAACAATCAGTATCAAAGTATGCGGGCAAGATGGAGTATCAAAGAGTATCTGTAGGCAGATATCCCAAATGGGATGAGTTTGTATTTGGAACAGGTGGATGGATGGAATTCGCATGCGCATAGGTCAATATGAAAAGGATGGGTGCAATCAGATAGAATATTGTTAGCAAATTTGGAGCATGGATCAATATGAGCATCAGAACTATTGTCAGTCAAGAAAGGTAAAAAACGCGGGAAACAAGGCTAATCATGCATCGGAAGCTTGAAATCAACCTTAAAGGAAATCACAGGAGAGTACTAAAGGGGTGTAGAGAGAACACAATATTGAAAAAGAAACAGTGCAGCAATCTTCCGTTCTGAAAGAAGAGAGCTTTCAGCTTGCGAGCAATATCTTGGGTATGTGAAGACCAGCAAAGCTTACTTTCAAGTGGGACACCTAGACAGTCCACATGGCTGACTCTGTTCCTCAGCTTTCTCTAAATTTGTACATTGCGTGAGGGAAAAAGGGAACGGTTCAAAGTACAAGTTCACTCCAGGCATTACTCATAATTACGATTAAGACCGGATAAAGTGGAACACGTACCTTAAAAACCTGATGAAAGCAACAATTTCCCAAAATAGTTCAGTGATCATAATATATACTGTTAAATACAACTGGGATTCCACAAATAACATGACTTTATGACTTTATGTGGTTTTCTTAAATTCATCACCTTTTCTGGTTCAATTGAAATAATTTTGGGAAATAAATGTTGGCTCAAAATGGTGACTTGAGTCATGTACAAGTCAACACTGATGACAACAGGGGAATTCCGTACGGCGTATAAGTTGGGCTTTGTTGTTCTCATGTTTGTAATTGCTTCGGTCGGATGCTTGTTTTACCTGATCGATTCGTTGAAATTTATCTCCACTAAAACCCTTATAGCTTTTGTCACTATGCGGGATTAATAGTTTGAGAGTCAGCTTCAATGAAACGTTCCCACCGAGCACTATTCAAATAGCCTAGCCCATTTCTGAATTTGTTACATTAATCTAATTTCTTGCAAAAATCCATATTTTAGACCGTTTGTTCTCGACGTGTACAAACCAGCTGTCCGAGTTGTCCGTGAGACAGCATTTCGGTGGGCACTTATTCATTGGCGGTTCGAAGACAGCCAGACCCGGACCGATTGTGCACATGGGTCACGTTGTTCTGACCTATATGGGACAAGCTGGTCGGCCCGGTCTTCATCCGATCTACTTCCATGGGACTGGCGATATGACTGGGTGAGAAAATCATAAGCCACTATATGCTCAGTGCTCACCGGGGCCGAATTCCTATTCAGCAAATGGTTATCTGTTGCTACCCTTCAGGTTCGATCAAGGAATTTTGTTTCACCAATTCTACTTATCAAACTACTCTCATGATTATCATGATCATTATCAGCATCCGAGTTATCATCATCATCATCATCATCATCATCATCATCATCATCATCGTCATCATCATCATCATCGTCATCCTCGCTGTCAATAGCATCGTAGCATAAACGACAAAGAAGATGAGCAATAAGAACAATAAACTTATATTCAGTTCAGTCATCATTGGATGGACCACAAAAGCAATAACTTAGTAATCGAATATACGTGATTTAGCTGACATCATCGAATCGAATGATGGTGGAACTTTTTCCACGTGAGCCTGTGAATAGGGGCAGTTTAGGTAACACATAGCTGATTGAACACACCGGCATTCATGACGTAAATTCTCTGACTAAATGCGTATCTGATATCCGAATGCAAAACAAATTCGCAGGTTTAGAACAATTTCTAATGCAGTCTCTATGATTTGCACTACAATGCTCATCTTTATTTTGCGTGCGGCCACATTCAGTGTCGGCTCAAAACAAGACTGGTATCTTTTCTCAATCAAACAGAAGATCTTTGTGCATTCTCGCTTTATTCAATCACATAATGAGAACTGAAGGGAAACCGTTTGAGAGCCTTAGGGCACGCAACTATATTCATTTCCTTTACTGGTGTCATCGGAACGATCAATAATGGGAAGCAATCACCGCTCAGTTATTGTTTGTCGTTGTGTTGGTTACACCAGAATGCAACTTTCAGAATACCTCCAAGGTAATTTTCTCTATAGCACAAGGACCAGTTAAACACAAAAGGCTATTCATTGGTGGTTGTATTGGCACCAGTCGTAAGTGGAGTGTAAACCTATATATATATATAAACCTATATATCAGTCTCGTTGATATTGATATAAGTTTGTGTATATGACTTCGCAAGCGACGACGAAGAACACAATGTTGTTTGATATCGAAGGAACAATTATAGCCTATCTGATTCCAAACAGCTTGGTGTGCTCAGATGGGACGCTAGATTTTGACGGCATAGTTTCAACATGCTTTGTGGGGACCAGTGTGTGAAACCAAGACTATTTTCAGTGATCAACGACCATGTTCCACAGAGTCACATGTGACCACAAATGGGGTGTTGGCTTGAAACATGAACGTGTGTTTCAAAGATTGACGTCATTAGCTGCTTACGGTGACTACAGCGAGTACACAAGCGAAATTCGAGAGCGCGGTCTGAGCAAAGTATTTTTCTTTTTTTGACTTGATTGTTTGTCAGTTTTGTGGGATTCAATCGGTTCAAGGTTTTCATCCGTTAGATGGGATTGCTCATGATATAAAGCTAGTACCTTTCGGGTCCTTACGTGGTTCAAATGAATTTGTTTCCAACAGGTTGAGTATTCGGGAGGCATTTTCACTGCAGCTAATGCGGTTGTAAAGAGATATGCTTTATATTATAACTGTATGATTGATTGTATGTAGTCTGATATGGTTGTTGCAAGATTGTCCAAACCTACCGCAAAAGCCTGACGGCCATCATTGAAGAATGCATTAGAACAAACATGAATTGGTTATTCTGATCAACCCCGGTGTGAGGTAGTTAGCACACTCGTAACACACATATACCCGTTCCA